GGAGCTGAAGGAACACAGCAGGCCAGGCAACATCAGAGGAGCAGGAAAGCTGACATTTCGGGTCAGGACCCTTCTTCAGAAAACCCAAAATGTCAGCTTTCCTGCTCCTCTGGTGCTGCCTGGCCTACTGTGTTCCTCCAGCTCCACACTGTTATCTCTGACTCCAGCATTGGCAGTTCTTACTATCTACACAGTAGTCTGTAGTTACTTAACCTATAATTGACTTGTACCTTGCATCATATATTCAGACTTCAAATCAATCTGCTGCATAAATTGCATCATCTATGTATGATTGAGTTGACTGTTTTGGTTTGTAGTCTTGTGCTAAAATTTGAATTGGAATTAAGTATTAAGTTAACCAGCCAGAACTTGTAGATTTCAAGTAATTAGTTCTTTCTCCCCACAGAAAGGATGTGGCTATCACCTTGACCTCCTGATGGTGGCTGTAATGTTGGGTGTATGTTCGGTTATGGGACTCCCCTGGTTTGTAGCTGCAACTGTTCTCTCTATCTCTCATGTGAACAGTTTGAAGCTGGAGTCAGAATGTTCAGCTCCTGGTGAACAGCCAAAGTTCCTTGGCATTAGAGAACAACGGGTCACTGGTCTCATGATCTTTGTCCTTATGGGGTGCTCTGTCTTTATGACTGGTTTCTTAAAGGTAAGCCAACAGTGGAATATTAGGTAACTTCTTGCAATTGTAAATTCCAACAGAGAATACTAATTTTAAGGATTAATTGGTATTACATTGTGGAATGCAAAACAAATTATTAATTAGATCATAAACTAAATTCTGATTGTCTTAATGTTTATGAAAAAGTCATCTATTACAAAATGAATGAGGTGATGTCTCAGATTTAGGATTTGGTTACATTGCAATTAGTTTTTGAAATCTGATATTGCAAAGTTTGTAACCACCTTTCGCCCTTAACAGTGCAGACTGTAAAGAGATATTTATCATGTTCTCTTCATACAAATTTCATTGTGGAGGCAGTGTTGTGTGATACATCGCTGTGTGGGGTGCATTTTGCATGTCCCACTTGATTAAGTTCCCAGCCATGATTGAGGTTAGGTAATGAGCAAGGCAGAGTGTGAGAAAACCTGAGGATGATTCACTTGTTGGTCATGTTTGAGCCCATCCGAAAAGACACATTTAAACAGCCATGGTATTGGCCTTGGAACAGGCCAGAAGGCCGTGCTCTAGCTGCAGCTAAAGTGGGAAACCATTTATCCCAGCATAACATTGTGATATCTATTTCCTCATATTGCACTGAATTAATATTAAATAGAATTAATTCACAATTAAATTGCCAAACAGAGGTATTTCCAAATTCTTCATAACTTACATTCCCTGTAATGCTGCCAACTCTTGTGCTAGATTACTGCACATTCCAACTACGAACATGAAGGAATCTTATTCTAATCTCCAATTTCACTGAAACTTGCTAATTTTTGCATTCCTTTTTTTTAAACTTGTGGCCAGAGTTTTAAGCCTTCTAACCTCCTGATGTCCGTATTATCCTCAAGTTTCAGCAATTAGAAAATATAAAAACCTCATTCTTGTGTTGCAGATTTGTGTTTATTATGAATTAAGGAAGGTACGCTGTCCAGCTGAATGTGCATAACAACATTTTATTGTAATACCCTTTCCTCGGGCAAACAAGTCAGTGGAAAATTGTAGCAAGATAGAATATGCTTTTCAGTATTATAACACATTATTTATGGGAGGAAACAGGTATGTATTGATTTATTATAGAACATAAAGACTAACACATGTAGCTTCGAAATACAATCAGGGAACTCATACTCTATTGAGATCCACCTGGCTAACCTCGTTACAATCATTACATCCTATACTTAGAGCACAGACTTTCATTACAAACAGGGTTTAGTTGATACAAAGGCAAAACGGAGACGCTGTTCTTTGGACCATGATTTTTTCATTGAAGAGTTTGCAATGATGAGGCTAGCATATTTCCAGACCAGGTAAGATTTAAATATCTCAATTGGTCAGGAGAATTATTAACTACACTGTAAATACAGTTTTGGATTGTTTATTTTGCTCTGACTAATGCTCAAAACAAGAGAATATGACGAATTTGCTATAATGGGAATAAAAAATTGACACATCCTTTGAATTTCAAATGTGAACCTAATCTTGTACTGAATAACTCTATCACCAAGTGCTTAGTTGTTCAATATGTGATTCTTCCAGAGTGTTGCCTCTTAATGAGTTTTCTATTAAGTAATTAAGTGAACTATAAGAATCAATGATCTGTTATCTGCTTTAGGTGGAACAGTTGAGTAACGTTTATAAATGCTGTTCTGTCCTCTCAATAGAGAGCAGGTGCTTAGCTGATATAATCTCAAGCTTCTGTCAGTCTGACTCAGAATTGGTAATAAGCAAAAAAAGCATTGGTTTCTGCTGAGTGCCATCTGATAGTAATGCAACTGAGATTGGGAACTTGAGATCCTTGGAGTGCAGTAAGCACCATGACTGTGGTACCACAGATGGCCCAGCTGAACAGGAGGGAAAGAAGAGCAAAAGGGCAGTACTGATGGACGGATTCTTTAGTTAAGTGAACAGACAGGCATTTCTGCAGCTGTTGACTCTAGTAAGTTGTGTTGTCTCCCTGTTGCTCGGTCAAGGGTATCACAGAACAGTTACAGGACTTTTTTCTGGAGGGGGGATGAACAGCCAGGGGTGACACTCCATATTGGTACTAATGACTTAGGTAGGAAGGGGTTGTGGTCCTGTGATCAGAATTTAGGGAGTTAGGTAGAAACATAGCATGCAGAACATCAAAAGTAGTAATTTTCAGATTACTCCCAGTGCCACATGCGCATGTGTACAGAAATGAGAAAATAAGACAGAAGTATGTGCGACTAGAAAGGTGGCACAGACTGAAATAATTCCACAGATGCTGGTATCCCATCACCAAGTTACCCTTTACTTACACATGGCAAGTCCTTGACACAGATCCAGCTCCCTCAGGGCCAGCTCTCAGAGTGAGAGGAACCTCTAACACTCCTGTTTATATCTGTCAGCCAGGGCTCCCTGATTGGACCAAATTAACAGCCCCAATCAGGGAACTCAGATTCAATGAGGTCCACCTGGCTGACCTTGTTCCAGTCCCTACGTCCCTCCCCCTATGAGTCTGAGGACATAGGCCGGTTCATTTTCTTGTAGCTGCTCCTGGGGTGTTTTATGACTGGGTCAGGTTCCTCCAACTCCGCCTTGGAAATGGGTGGCGTGTAGCACAGTAGCTCGCCTCTTGCTGTCAGAGCATCTCAGAAGAAATTTATTCTCTTCTTCAGGAAGCAAAGGCATCAAGGTGGAGTATTCCATTATAACCATCTCAGATTCCAAGGTCTCTTCAATGCTTGACGGAGAGGGAGAACCCACAGGTTCCGACAGCCTTTCCGACTGTTATGAGGAGCCGGGCATGTTTTGCTCCCCCATTTGCGAGTTTGCAGCTTTCATATGGTCCATGTACTTGTTCAGGATCATGGCACCTACCCGAACTTCATATGTCACTGGACCTGACCTCACATCGATCATGCCTCTTACCCAAGCAGGGCCATTCCTGTGGTTCCTACACCAAATTTGTCCCTTGTAGTAAACTGTCTGTCTCGTTTAGAGGAGTCTTGTGTCCAGTACTGGCATTCCTGATGCCATTTCATTCTCCCGCCCAGGCCTGGGAAGGTCAGATTTAACCTGATGTGGAGTCTTCTCCTCATTAGTAACACTACTCGAGCTATCCCTGTGGTTGCATGAGTCCTATAATCAAACGGAAACCATGACAGTTTGGTACCAAGGCTGTTTCTTCAATCCTGTCTTCAAAGTTTGAATTGCTCTTTCTGCCAGACCACTGGATAATGGATAGTATGGAGCTGTCCTTATATGCTGAATGCCATTCGACTTTCGTAAATACTGAAATTCCCTGCTGGTTAATGGCATTCCATTGTCCATGACCAGTACTTCTGGGAGTCCGTGTATCACAAATGATGCTCACAGCTTTTCAATCATCATCCCTGAATTTGCCGAATTAACTTTCTGCAAGTCCAACCACTTTGAGTGGTGTCCACAATGACCAGGAACATTGAGCCCTTGAAAGGACTGGCATAGTCAACATGTAACTGAGTCTAGGGTTTACCTGGCCATTTCCACAAATGGGGAGCTGCTGGTGGTAATTTTTGTCCCTATTGGCACTCTGGGCACTGCCCCACTAATGCGGTTATGTCAGCATTCAACCTCAGCCACCAGACATAGCTTCTTGCCAACATCTTAATTTTGGAAACCCCTGGATGACCCTGGTGGAGTTCAGCCAGTATCTGGCAGCGATCTTTACTCAGGAAAGTCACTGTTGTTCCCCATAATAACACGCTGTCCTCTACGGTATTCTGGTCTCACCAGGTCTGGAAAGGTTTCAATTCTGGTTGTGATGGCCCGTTTGTTTCCCCTATCACTGCCAGCTGTTTCAGTTTTGCCAAGACAGGCTCTTCTTGTGTCCAAAGTCTGATTTGTCAGTGGTGACCAGAAGGGTGTGCAGAAAGTTTAAAACCAGAACACACTCTTCCAGGGAGGCACCACCAGTGGTGTATCTGCCGGTGGGAGGAGGGTCAAGGCATCCGCATTAGCCACTTGGCCTCCTGGACAGTGTTCCAACTTGTAATTGTACGCACTGAGAATAAGGGCCCACCACTGAATATGATCAGAACCTATGAGCAGCACGGCCTTGTCTTCTTTAAGTAGCCCTAGCAGTGGTTTGTGGTCCATTAAAAGACAAATTCCTGTCCATAAAGGTACTGGTGGAACTTCCTCACATCAAAGATGACTGCCAAACCTTCCTTCTCTATCTGAGCATACTTGCGTTAGACAACAGCCAAGGTCCAGGAGGCATATGCTGTCGGGCATTTCTCTCCATTGGGCCACCAGTGAGCCAATACTGCCCCGATACTGGACAGGGAGGCATTGCATATCAGCACTACCTCTCGCTTCAGATTATAGTGGGCCAAAACCTTAGATGATGATAGCTGCTTCATTACTTCCCTAAGGTCTACTTCTTGGCTATGTGACCATTTCCAAGGCTTGACCCTCTTTTACTAGCAGGTGTAAGGGCACCAAGATGGAGTCCACGTTATGTATGAACATTCCGTAATAATTCACCGGCCCAAGGAAAGATGGAAGCTCTGGTACAGACATGGGAGCTGGGGTTCCTTTGATCGCCCTTATCTTATCTTCCAACGGGAATAACCCAGTCTTGCGAACTGTGTAGCCCATGTAGGTTACTTAGGGGGGGCTGGAGCACACATTTTTCCCTTCTAAGGCATATGTCCACCTGGGAGAAATATTTAAACACTTTGTCCAAGTTCTCCAAATGCTTTTTATTGGTCTTCCCTGTTATTAGCTCATCATCCAGGAAAATAGCAATCTGGGGTAGACCTTGTAAAATGTTCTCCATCGTCCCCTGGAAAAGGGCGCAGGTTTCTGGGACCCTTTATGTAACTGCAATTGCAGGTACAAATGGCTCATGTCCAGTTTCATGAAGGCCAGGCCCCCCACCAGTTTTGCGTACAAGTCCTCTATGTGAGGGATTGGGTATTTATCCAGCTGCGAGAAGCGGTTTACGATTTTTTTAAAATCCCTACAAAGGTGAACTGAACCATCAGGCTTCACAATCGGTACGACCGGGTGCTGCCCATTCTGAAAACTGTACTGGTTTGATGATTCATTTGCTTCCCAGCCTCCTGATTTCTGCCGCTACTGTTGCCCTGAGGTCAATGGCACTGGGTGGGCCTTGCAGAATCATGGAATTGCTTCCTGGTCGATGTGCAAGGTGGCCTTGGCACCTTTGATAGTCCCTAGACCTTCCTGAAAAACTTCTGGGTATTTATTTAGGACTTCACTCAGGCAGCCATTTTCTAATTGAAAGATGTTGAGCCAATCAGGGTGAATCTTTCTTAACCAATTCCACCCCATCAGGCTTGGGCCTGAGCCTTTTACTGCAATCAGTGGGAACTGAACCAGCTGCTTTTCATAAGAGATTGGAACTGAGGTTGTACCTTTAATCCATAAAGGTTCCCTAGTGTATGTTCTCAGTCTGGCTGAGGTCTTACACAAACTTAAGGGTTAGAGTCCAGAACAAATCTTGTTAAACACTGGTCCTGCAACCACAGATACAGCTGTGCCAGCGTCAACTTCCATAAGAATTGGGTGATCACTTAACCAGACATGTATTTTTATTCGTTCTGATTTAGACGTTGCTAAGCAATTTCTAAACCCCATGATAGGTGGACTTTCCAGGGTGAGCACTCTCCTGGTTACTGGTCTATGAGTTCCCTTACTCAATTCAGGCCTTATAGGACTCCTTTTCTGTCTTGAGTTTGCATACTTGCAGCAACTGCAATGGCTTGCTGGAGAACCTGAAGAACATTTTAGCCACTTGGCTCAGGCTTGCCTTTGTTTTGGGGTTTTGCTGTGGGCTGGCCTAGGATCCCTCTGCTCAGGACGTGCGCTGCGTGATGCTCCATGATTGCCGATACTCGAGTGATGTTCCCCAAACTCAGTTGGATAGGTGAGGGTGAAAATCGAATCAGAGATAGTAGGAACTGCAGATGCTGGAGAATCCGAGACAACAAGGTGCAGGGCTGGATGAACACAGCAGGCCAAGCAGC